TCTTCGGCCGTACTCTCGCCCGCTCGATTAGCTGCTACGTCGAATAGCGGCGAATCGCGAGTACCATAATAGAAATCATCGATTGGTCTGCGTATACTGATAGTCTTCCGGGGTCTGCAGAGTCGATATTCATCGGATATTTACAAGAGGACTCTGCTACGCTCGCAAACACGCTCTCTTACGCACGCACACACGTTCGCACGCCACTCTTAATCGTTCGCATCGCTCCTCGCCTAGAAATATATCTTACATGGATCGTCTATCTTATCGTTAAACGAGTCGGTATCCATATATTACAAGACGCGTCTGTGTCTGTACATCGTGCGCCGGCGATCCCCGCGCACTCGCGCGCGCGCACCGTCCTAATCTGTTGCCAACGGATCTCTCCTCCGTGAAATTCACATTCTTCGCGATCACAGTGATTGTATCCTCGAAGGGAACCTTACGAAGTCTCGTAAAAACGTTCGATCTACCGGCCGACGACCTGTCCGCGAGTACCATCGCCGGAAGTCGGCCTCTCCTCGATCTCTCCGAGGCGATCGGCCGCGATCCCCGGTCCTCCGTCCCACCTCCCGCACTCTAGTCCACCCGCGGCCGGGCTCACCCTCCCGTCCTTCCGCTCCTACGTCCTCGTTCCACCGCTCCGCGCGCGCAACGCGCAGCGTTCTCAGCGTCGCTCTCCTGCGGGCAGCTTTAGTAACCGCTGAGACACCTGAGCTTCTTCAAGGGGGGCGACAGCTCGTTTCAGCTGGTCGACGCCTGCACGGACATCGGCGGAGGTTTAACCGGGCCCAGAGCCGGGCCGGACAGCCCGTTGTTGTTCATGTCCCCGGGGGCCCTGGGCCCGCCCACGCCTATGGCCGTCCCGTTCGCCGTTGGCGTGCTCCCGGACATCTGACCCTGCAGCCGTTAATTCATCTCTCTTTACTAAAACCTTGTGGAGGATGCAAGCAGGTGGGGAAGCTGTTGCGGAAGGAAGCTGTCGAGAAAGCGACTGGAACGTCGAGTTCCACGGGGACTTCGATGCGATTGTGCCGCGAAAGAATACTAAGTCTGACGGAGGAAATTAGTATCCTTCTTCAAACGAAGGGAGTTAAGATCGATGGTCGCAGCGCTTGTTCGTTATACTCTACTCAATCATTAGTTTCGGATGGATGAATAGCGACTGTCGATATCACTGAGCTCGCCTCTAGAAGGACAGACTATAATGAACCTTGCGCGATTAGAAGCTTCACGATAATGAAGCGAACGTGGATACTTTACAGTTACAGAAATGGTATACTAAATCGCATCAGAAGCAACACGGTTTCCAATACATCCGATGCAACGGTTCTCAGTCAATCTTCTCGGAAGTCTATCAAATTATCAGCGATTCTCGAAACTAATGCCCGAGGAGTCTAACAGCCGGCCGTCGAGACCTTCCGTCAAAGGACACTTTATATCACGTCGCGATCAAACGAAGTCAGACTAACGACGGTCTCCAATTATCGTCTTAGCATTTCCATCCCGCGAGAACGGTAACAAAGCAGGCCGGCGAACGAACGGAGTCGAAGACCGCGCGATCGGAAAAGCGGGGACGATGATCGCAGGGGGGCGAGGGAAGACAACGGACGGTCTCGATTAAAGCGCGGCACGCCCTGCTGTCATCGATATCAAGGACGGGAAGACAGCGGACGGTCCCGCGCGGACTTCAAACGCCGCGCAAACGTCTCTCTTAACTTACGTTCGACGCGTGATTATGTTGACCCACCGACTGGCCAAGTCCCTGATGAGGTTGCTGTGGATTGTGACCGGGATGCATGTTCTGGCCGGGCGGCGTCGGCGTCGGCGGCAGTTGCCTTTTGATGTACGCCAGCGAGGCAGGTGTTTGTACTGACATATTGGCGAACGCGAGCATCTCCTCGTAGTCGTACTCGCACAGGATTTTGTTCTCGTTCAGGTAGAATCGATCGCCCACGCAAAACCTGCAAACAGAATCATACGGTGTCGAGGCACTGCAGATCGCGAACTGTCCGCGCGTCGGTTTACCGAGGACACGAAATCTGCTTATTGGTTCAACGCTAGAGCTACCGAGCAATTGCGACTTGTTTCTCTGTATGCAAATTAGAACACGTTTCTTGAGATTTAACACTAGGTTTACGGACGTTTATTGTCCGGTTTGTTCTATTGTTCCTAGAAAAATCGATGTCCGACCATTTAGGTCTTGGAAATTAGGGATTTAAAATTAGGTTATTAAACCGACATAAACGATTGCCAATGTCTATAAATTCAGTATGCGTCAAATTGACGCACTCCGTAAACCTAGTGTTAAGAAGTCGGTTATTCTCGAATTGGTAGCTCTACCGTTAACGCCTGTTCTTCGAGCTGCTTCGATCTAAGAACTTCGGAATCAAAGAATCAATTCCATCGAGTCACTTCCGTTTACAGCTTTGTCAATAGTTCTAGTCAACAACCCAAGGAATTCCCGTACGGATATCCCCCGGAAAACATTAAAACTTACAATCACGTTCACCACAGAATAAATCGACACGTTCAACGGATCACCCATGGCTTCGCATCCGCAACACCCGAATCCATCAGAAAACAATCCCGTCTAAGCGACACTCGACCCCCGTTCCCAACGACAGCCCGCGAACATTAACCCCGCTCCCGTCACGCCCCCGACCGATTAAAAACTTACCGGCCGAAAACGCGCGGTCGAATTAAAGGTGAAACGAAAAAGAACACCGGCGACGTTCCCGGGACGCTGCGGGCTGCGCCGCTCGCGTCCCGATCGGTGGTCGGGGGTTCGTCGATAATCGGTTGATCGTCGCGACGGACGAAATAAAAAATCGGGGCCAGGGAAAAAAACGAAGGGGAAACAATGGCGGAGCGGCGCGGGTGGACGCGGCCGTAGGTGGGCGAGGGGCGGGCGCGGCGGATAACGAGCGTATCGCAACGTGTCGGACAAATAATTATTATCGGGCTTCTGTCCGCGAGTGGTCTCACATCCGCTTTGATCCCGGTAGGAAATACGAGAGCGAAATACGAGAGCGGCAGAGTCTGGTTCGAGGTAGATACTCTCATAATCGTACGGCAAATAGAATTATCGCGTTCCGCGCGGCCGTTGCCGGCGAGCATAGCTTATACCGGGTTTCGCTCGTTTCCCCCATTATACGCGTCGTCTGCTAAATGACGCTGTACTCCGATCCTCGCCCCTTCCCTCTTCCGCCACCCTGTCCGCCGCCCACCCTGCCTCCATTGGCCTCTCTCCGTCGCTCTATCTCTTTCTCTCTCTTTCTCTCTCTCTGTCGTTCGTTCTCTCCCACCCGCTATCCCGGTCGCCGCTCACGCTATTCAGCTGACCGTCACCTGCTGGTTTCTGACCCTCTGTCCGCCACGCGAGATCTCGCCGCGACCGGTCTGTCCGCCGCTCTCAAGGTGCTGCTCTCCTTGCCAATTGCCTGTCAGCTAAACCACACAAGGTTATTTACTTTGTCCGGCCGTTCGCGGCCGGCTTTCTTCTCTCAGCTCCCGTTCTCCCTTTCGCCTTCTTTCGCGCCTAGTCCTCCTTTCTTTGCCGCCTGTTCTCTGCGGAGCACCGAGGATCTTGCGTTTCAGATCGTTCGGTAGCTGGCTTGTGCAGTTCACGCTTGGATCTTTTATTGAGGATTTTTAACGTGGTTTTCGTAGGAATTTTCGGGAGTCTGTTATTGCACGATTATCTGTTTGTCGTGGATGTTGGCGATGTTTGCAATTTGACTATCGGTAGTTTTTTTATTTTCTTGTAGATGTGCAGAGTTTGGACTGATTTGGTGGGAGAGGTGTAATGGACGAAGGGGGATAGGAAATAGTTGGAAATGGTGGGAACGTGTTTATCGTTGAACGCGTTTTTAAGTGTAGGTTTCTATGCAAGTTGATGGTAGAATTGTTGGATACGTTGAATACGAAACTTTAGTATCTTGCTGCATTGAGTTAAGCGACGATTGAAATCCTCTACCGAGGTCGTTGCCTTTCGCGTCGAATGAACGGATAGTTGACGCAGATCGTTATAGTAGATCGTGAAAGACGACGGTTGAGACACTTTGATGGTAGGAGAGAATTTATCGCGACGTGGAGGTTGTTTTATGAAAATGAATATTGTGAACAGGTTTCTCTTTGTTCAGGCGCAAAACCGCGATCTGCCTATTGATCCACCTCGTGCGCTATAGCCCGAAGATAATTATGCAGTTAGTTTAATAGGCTTCAGCCGAAGAAGTTAGAATCCGTCCGCGTACCATTGCTCACAGAAGACGGAAGCGGTGCTAAAGGACAGAGGACGCAAAGAATCTTGCGTTTGACGCGAATGACAATTAATTACGTTATACTTAGCGTCTCGATCTCCTCGACGACGAAGGCGGAGCGCATAAAGCCTGATGCACTCGCGAGGAAAGCTCGAACAGCACTAATTCGGCTAATGAGCTACACGAACAACAAAGCTTCCATTATAAATAAATTACTTTTCTCGGGATCACTCGAAACGCGCGATCGTTTTGGGGTTTCGAAAATGGAACTGATTCACGGGGACAATTAAAGCTGAGCCGGTATTCTCGCGATTGCTGGAAACATTTAATTAAACGCAACTAATAGAACGTCAGACGACAGCCAAATTCCTCGGAGCACTTTAACCTCCTCTCTCACGAAGAACGCGGGCGACATATTTTCGCGACTTTCGATTTCCGCGATGAACGGTCGACGATAAATTCTATAATACGCGATCGTTGGGAAGCGGCGAAATAAATTGGAACGCTTCGGGTGTCACAGTAATATCTGCATGACAATAAGATCAACTTTCGGCGATTTGGCGGCGCGCAATCCGCGCGAACGCGTAGTTCTGTCGGGTCTGGATCGAAACAGATATTCCTATAATTGCGCGGGCGGCGGCATTATCGCGCCGCGCGAGCGTACTCGTTCCAGGATTTCTATTATGATCCCGGGAATAATGCCGCGCGGATCCCGGTCCTTTAATTCCCGCGACCGGTGGAGGTGTCTGTCGCGGCACGATACTGGCCAACGATACTCCCAGATTTTCCACTTTCGTTCGGCGTCCCCCGCGCGCGCTTCCTATTTTCTTTGTCTCGTCCGCGTTTACTGGTTAATTATAATCCCATAGAAGCGGAAGTAATAAAACGAAACCGGGGAGCGAACGCGCGCCGGGGTTTCGGGATTTTTTCCGGCGAGACCGACCGGCTATTCAGGGTAAATCTACTTCGCGCAAAGTGGCGCGCGAAACGACACGGCCATTTAAGCCCGGTTGAAACAATTGAACCGGTCCCGAGAAGAAATGGGGCTCGCGTTACGCGTGTAATATTAGGCCGTAAACCGAGTCGGCGCGTTCATTGAATTTTATCCGCGCTCATTTCGAACCGTCGCCTTCTAATATCGTGTCGGACACGCCGCGAGAACTTTGGATTGAATTTAACCTTTACGTCGATACCCCAAATGGCTCTCGGCTTCAGACATGGAACGAGGCGGAAGTTCCGATTTCTACGTAACTTCGAACATCGTGGAAAGCAATCACCGAGAAAGACTCATCGGAGGGATCAACATCATCCTTAACCCCTTGACTTCGGAATTAAACAGCGAAAATCCTTTCTAAACCGATATACCTTCATCACGCGAACTAGTAATCAATAAAGACATCGAGAACACGTCATACTTTGGAATATTACCTATAAATCACTGTACATTAATTACATTTAAAATTGTTCAAAAAACAATTCATTCGCGTCGAGCTACGAGTCACTCGCACCACGATTAATTAAATTCCCGATCATTCGCAGAATTAAAAATCCTTTTCTCGTGAACCACGATCCTGCAGAACTGTCTCCGACCAGTAAGAATTTCCATCATGCCCGATCCGTCAAAAACGATCATCCATGAATCGTTCCCGGAAGGGAAGAAATTATTCCAGTCACCGATATCTCGTTCTCGCCGTAACTCCAGGGGCTCGAGCTGTCCCGAGCGTTCCTTCGGCGCCGTGTCGCGCGAAGATTGGCGTACGCGCGAACCCGCAACACCGTCGAGGCTGAAATATTAACTGACCGCAGCCCGAAGACGAAGCGCGGAGAGGAAGGGAGACGGAGAAAGGACGGGTTCCCGCGTCGAGCGGAGGACTGCTCTGGTCCGCATGGAAAATTTCAATCTAGAAAGGGGCGGGCAGCGAGCAGGCAGGGTCCAGGGGCTCGGATAACTCGGTTGAATCTTTAACGAGGATCAACCGGCTTTGCGAAACCCGGAAGGACCCGGAATCCGGAGGAAAAATCGGTACGGGCGGCGCCGTCCCGTGGAAACGGACGGCGCCTGGTCCGGCGCATCGGATAAATAAATAAAACAACCGGTGCCAATGCGTGACCCCATTAGAGTCACTTTACGGGGACACGTTCGGGCGGAGCGGTGCAGTTGTAACGTTCCCGAAGTAATGGCCGTGCGCGCGCCGCCTGCACACCGGAGCCGGGCTAGCTGAAACATTCACCGGTCCTCTGTGAATCCTTTCTTTGAAGGGACACGGGTTTCTTGAATAAAATTTGCATACGCGGCCGTCGCGGACCATGCCCGGGCGACGCGACCGACCGACAGACCGAGCGCGCCCGTTTTTCCCGCTTTAATTTCCTTCGGAGACGCGCGAGGTCGGCGGGTCGCCCTCGATTGCGACCCGTAAAAATGGCGGATTAAACCGCGACACCCACGGCGCGGACGGAACGCTCGCCGCGCGAATTAGAGAGACGCGGGACGGACGCTTCTTCGTTATGAACGATAGATAGGACTGAATTACCGGGGAAACGGAATTTGTTGATTGCGGTTCGCTTGTGTTGGAAGCGATATTCCTGTGGTCTAGTTTTCGATGTGTTTGGTTAAGGGGGAACTGTGTATTAGTTGCTTCACTTTTGGATTGGTGTTCTTTGGTTTGTAGATCGATTACCGATGTCCCGATTATTTTAAATAC